TTTCTAAGACATACACTGTTATTAACTGCAGTCACCATGGTGTACAATAGATCCCTTGAACTAACTTCTATCTAAATGAAAATTTGTATTTTTTGATTACCATCTCTGCAGCCCCTGATAACCAATACTCTTCTGTCTACTTCTAGAATATCAGCATTTTACATTCCACATATAAGTGACATCATGAAGTATTTGTCTTTCTGTGTCTGGTTTATTTGACTTTAACACACTAACCTGTCCATCCATATTGTCAGAAAAGACAGGATTTCATCCTTTTATGACTGAATTGTATTCTGTTGTGTACATGCAGCATATTTTCCTTATCTACACATCCACTGAACACTTAATTTAGCTGTATTTTGACCCTTGTGAATGTTTCAATGAATGAGTGCAGATACCCTTTAATTACATAGTCAGCATGGTGACTAAATCATGGCAGTTGTATTTTTATATTCTGTAACAGTGAGGATGCTGAATCATGGTACCTCTATTTTTAATTTTTTGAGGAATTCCAACACTATCCCCTAATCACTATACTAATTTACATTCTTACCAACTATGTGCAAGTTCTTTCTCCACATTCTCACCAATATGAACATTCATTTTTTCATAATAACCACTCTTAACAGGTATGAGATCATATCTCATTCCTAAGTGACTAAAGATGTCAGCATTTTTTAAATTTACCAGTTGGTCATCTTAATGACTTTTTTCAAGAAACGTCTATTTAGATCTTCTGTCCATTTCTTCACTTGGATATCTCTTCACTCTGTTGATTATGCCCTTGGCTTGTGCAGAAGCTTTGTAGTTTGATGCAATCCCATTTCTCCACTTTTGTTTTTGCTACCTATGCACTGGGGACATAGCCAAAAAACTCACTGCCAACAGTAAAGTTAAAGAGCTTTTCCTTGTCTTCTTCTAGTACTTTTACAATTTCAGATCTTACATTTATGTTTTGAAACCATTTTGAGTTGAGTTCAGTACTGGGAATGAGTTAAAGAGTCCAGTTTTATTCTTCTGCATGTGGAAACCCAATTTTTTCAAGATCACCTATTGAACATTGTCCTTTCCTCTTTTTATGCTCTTGGCATCACTGTCAAAAAGTGACGGTAAGTGTGCATCTGTCCATGTGTGTGTTCTTATGCCATGCTTGTCTGATTATTGTAACCTTGGTAGTATATTTTCAATCAGGTAATATACTACCTCCATCTTTTTCTTTAATCCAAGATTGATATGGCTAGTCAATGTCTCCTGTGGTTTCATATACATTTTAGGATTTTTTTTTTTGAAAAACAACAGTAGAAACACCCCCCACACACATATACTGGGGATTGAATCCAGGGCCTTCACACTGAGCCACATACCCAGTCTTTTTTAATGTTGAGACAAAGCCTCCCTAAGAAACTAGGTTGCCCAGGCTGGGGCTGAACTTGGCAATTCTCCTACTTCAGCGTCTCAGGAATTGCACCGATACTATCTTTGCAAAAATCCCAATTTTTGTTTTGTGGATTCTTTTATTATTTATTTATTCTACATTTCACTTATTTCTGCTTTGATAATTTTCCTTCCATCAACTAACTTTGGAATTAATCTGTTTTTCTAATTCTTTTGGTAGGTGCAACATTAGATTGTTTATTTGAGATCTTCTTTTTTGATGCAGGCATTTATTATTACAAAGTTTCCATCCTAGATATGTTTGTGCTGCATCCCATGACTCTGGTATTTCCATTTTTATCTCAAGGTATATTTTAATTTCCCTTTTCTTTTTTTTTGTCAGAAGCATGCTGTTTAATTTCTATATATGTACTTTCTGAAATCCATCTTATGACACAGATCTCATGTCATATCATTATAACTGGAAGTTACTTGATATGATTTCAATCTATTTAAATTTGTTAAGACTTGTTTTGTGGCCTAGCACATGATCTATGCAACAGAATATCCTATGTTCTCTTGAGAAGAAATGTGTTCTGACAATGTTGGATGGAATGTTTTACATATGACCCTTACATTCACTTGCACAAAAGTGTTAAGTGATGTTTCTATGATTTTCTTTCTGGATAATCATTGCTAAGAGGAGGGTACTGAAGCATCCTACTATTACTGTATTATAGTCTATCCCTTAAAATCTATTAATATTTGCTTTATATATTAGGTACTTTATGTACTCTTAAAGTTGAATACATATATATTTACAATTGTTGTATCTTCTTGATAAATTGACTCCTTTGTCATTACATAATGGCCTTTTGTTTTATATTTTTTTACTTCACAACTGTTGTTATCTAAATACAGCTATTCTCACTCTCTTTCGATTTCTATTTCCACAAAAGTTATCTTTTTACTTTCAATTTATGTATGTTCTTAAAGGTGAAGTGAGTCTCATGTCGGTAGAACATATGGTAGTTGGTTCTTATTTTATTAGCCACTGTGTTTTGGAGAATTTAATCTACTTACATACATACAATGTATTCATATACATTCAATTACTGGTAGGTAATGAGCTACTATTGCCATTCTGTAAGGAGGTTTTTTGGCTGTCTTGTAAATCCTTTATTCCTTTCTTCTTTTTTTGATGGCATCCTTTATGCTAGATTATTTTTCTACTGGTATGTTTTGTGTGTGTGTTACTGAGATTGCACCCAATTGAGAGAAACAGTCTGGTTCCTATGTCAGCACATAAGAAGGCCTGGAGCCTATGTCCACAATGCTGGACATGAAGCCTGGATCCACTGTGGTGAACCTACTGATGGGGTCCATGGGGGCAGGCCTGGAGCCTGTATCTACAGGGGGCTAGGTTTGATGCTCAAGTTGCCAAGTCCTAACCTGAATCTGGGGTGCGCCTACAGCCTGAGTATATAGAAGGTAGTCAGTCAGGTGCTGGGGTGGACCTGGAAGCAGGGTACAATGGGACAAGCCTTAAGCCTGAGACCACAGAGCCTGGCCTGGAGCCTGGGTCTACAAGGGAGGTCCCAGTCTCAATAAGTAGGTACAAGGCTGGTAAGAGTGTCTACTGAGATGGGTTTGCACTCTAGGTCCAACAGAACCTAGAGTCACAAAGAATGGCCTAAAGTTTGGGGCCAGCCTCGTTCTTAGGCAAATGTAAAGCTTGGTTCCAGAGGAGCCAGCCTGAGGCCAGGTGTAGGGGTGCTGCCCACAGGCAAGAGTTCACAAAAAGTAAACTAAGTCTTGAGGCCACAGAGGCTGACCTAACACCAGAGTCCACAAGGACGATCCTGGAGCCTGGATCCAAGGAGGATAGCCAAGCACTAGAGTCTAGGACAGGCCTAAACCCTGGGCTTGCTACAGTATGGAACTGCAGGGGCCAAGCTGGAGGGTGGAGCTGGACTGCCTGGCACTGGGCAGGCCTGGAGCCGGGGGTTATGGAATCTGGTCTGACAGTGAAGTGGCCCTAGAGGCCCATCCTGTGGGTAGTAGACTGGAGTTTGTTACCAGGGGCCCTACTGGGTTTTACTGGGGCAGTTCTAGTGCTGAGATATACAACAAAGTCCAGTACTTAACTTTCTTCTCCCAAGGAGAGTATGTTTCTCCACACTGTGCTGCTCAGGGTTGAGGGAGAGGTGGCACCGGTAACGTACAATTGTCTTTCCTACCCTCTTCAAAGCATAGTCTCTCATTTCTGTGCCATATGTAGGTGCTGTACACTCTGACCTGGTTTCAACGGCTCTTGTGAAGGTACTTTTGTCAATGGATAGCTGTTCCAATTAATGCTTCTGCAGTGAGACAAGTGCTGCGAAATCACATTCTACCATCGGGACCTCACAACAAGTATCTCTGTTAATAATCCAACACACTGGGCAGGCACCACTGTCTTTCCAACTATGGCCAGCATCAAGAGCATATATATAAATTCAACTACTCCACTGTTAATATCCTCTATACAGGCCACTGTGCACAGTTCTGGTCCATCAACCCTCATGATACTCAAGCTGGAATACCATAATCTCTGGCTACTGGAGAAAAGTGTTTAAATTCTACATGTGACAAGCTTTCTAACCCCAGTTAGCCACTCAGTACATAGACTTTCAACATTCTTTGGCTCACTTCTTCACCCATAACCTTCAACAAACTGTTAAGTTTTCAGTATTCTCAACTCCTCAAACAGAACCCTCTATTAATTATAGCGTTTCCCAAAATTTTGGGGGAATTTCATAAAAAAAAAAGAATTTCATAAAAAGTTATGTTGTTGGGCCTGGGATTTAGCTCAGTGGTATCGCCGCCTGCCTCGCAAGCACGAGGACCTGAGTTCAATTCCTGGTACCAAAAAAGTAAAATAAAATAAAAAATAAAAAGTTATGTTGTTACTCAAACTACAATGAAATACCCACCACCTCATATCCACTCAGATAACTACTATCAAAAAATAAAAATAAACATACGTAAATGGTAGCAAAGATGTAAAAGAAAACTGGAACCCTTGTACACTGTTGGTGAAAATGTAAAATGGTGCAAAAACTGTGGAAAAGTCTGACAGTTTCTCAAAAACAGTTTTCACATAGGATCCAGTAATTCTGTTTCTGAATATATACCTTAAAGAATCTAAGGTCTTAAAGTGTATACCAACAACTGTTGAAACATGAAAACAACCGAAGCATCTATTAACAGATAAATGAGTAAGCAAAACAGGGTATATAATGCAATGAGTTATTACTGACGCTAAACAAGGAAGAAAATTCTGACATGTGCTACAACATGCATGATCCCTGACTGAAATAAGCCAATGACCAAAAAGATAAAAAGTGTATAACATAGCCAAAAAAAAAAATCACAATCCAGGGGCTGGGATTTAGCTCAGTTGTTCCGGCGCCTGCCATGCATATGAAAGGTCCTGAGTTTGATCCCAGTACCAAAAAAAACAATCACAATCCAAAAGTAAAATGTCGGTTGTCAGGGACAATAAAAATGGACAGTTATCATTTAATGGGTACAGACTTTAAGTACTGCTAAATGAAGAGTTCTCACGATGACTACATACTCACATTCGGCTAGCTTCAATGTCGTCAGACTGGGGTTCTCCTGGTGACCTGTAAATGTAATTGAGGAAAAGTTAGAACATATTCTATATTCCAAGAAGGGATAGACATGTAACTTAAGGAAGAAATATTTGAAAACAAGATCTACGGACTAATTAAAAGAATTTTTTAAATAATTAAAGATTTCAACATGAGAAAAACTGGTCAGCTGAGATTGCCATACAACATTTATTTTAAGGGCTGGACTAATAAACTCAATGCTTTTTCTTAAAAAAAAAGCAATTACAAACACTATCTTCATTGAAGAAAAACAATATAATCCCAAATTATTCACAAAGTCAAATATGTGTAATAAAAACATGACTGAAATTCTCTATAGCCAAATACTTATTATCCACATTAAACTCAGTGGTAGTCATGGTCTCAAATTTTAGATAAAGGGGTCAGCAAACTATAGCAGGGGCAGACAAACTGAAGCTTGGGCCAGACACCTGTTTCTGTCACTCATTTAGGCATTTCCTATGGCTGTTTTCACAAGAAAAGAGCAGGGCTGAGTACTTGTGGCCACAAAACCTAAAAAATGATGCGATCCTTTACGAAAAAGTTTTCCAACCTGTGCTCCACTTAACTGAAACTAAAATGTAAGCCTTGGTGAATTGTGAACACTTGTATCAGACGTGACATACTGACCATGATTACGTTGGTTCAACAAAAAAATTAGGTTTCCACAAAAAACACATTGGCGGTTTATACTAATTGTTCAATGTATATCACCTGGGATATTAATATTCTACTCTAGAAAACTGTGAATTAACTTTAGTTTTAAATAGTTGCCAACTATTTTCTTTATTTTCTGAATATACTATAGCTGTCTTACATAGAAATATTCAAAATTCTTAGGATTATGCTTTCATTTCCATTTTAGGGGGCATGAATCAGTTTTTCCTACCCCTATCATATTAAAAATAAATCTGTTATCTTCTTCATTCTTATAAGCAGCATCAGTTTGTGTAACAGATAATTTTGAAAGGACAATCAATATAATACCTATTTAAAACACTTTCAAGTTGCCAAAATGAGAAAAAAAAGTTTAGGTCAAAAGCTAAACTTTTAAAGGAAAGACTCTTAAAATGAAGAGTCACTTGTATGGTGGAAATCTGTTTTCTAATTTCTTAGCTTTAAAAAAACACTTCTTTATAAGACTTTCAAAAATACACTTACTAAAAAAATTAAAAAAAATTAAAAATACACTTACTGCAGTGCATTCAGATTCAAAGAAGGAAAAGATTAAAATTTTTAAAAGGCCCCCAGCACCTTAAATATTTAGATCTTTGTAGTATATTTATAGTTTCAATTTTGCACAAAATTACATAAGAACTAAAAGAGGCAAGCTTCAGGTGGCAGTGAAACTAATGCAAAGATTTTCTCTATCATCTCCCCCAGGGAGCAAGCCAATCACCTCTGGGACACAGCTGGTCTCCGCCAGCCTTGCGGGTAAGTTCCCAAGAATGCTTCCAAACTTGCATCTCCTAGACAGGAGGGCTAAAAACGCTGATAACGCCATGTATCAGCTGACTCATTTTTGAAAATGTGGCCCTCCACCATCAGATGTCATACTGTAAGGAAGCAGAGCTGGCTTGCAAAACAAAACATAAACCTGCCGGCACTAAGGAAAGAGGGGCAGATCAGAAGCTTTTAAACAGACAGGCAGCAAAAGTTTCAAAATTTACAGAGAAAGAGAGAAAAATGTGAGGGCACCACGACAGGGAAAAAAATATTACTGGAAAAAGGGAAGACACGAGGAAGTAGGAAAACAAATCCAAGTCTCAGAAGTGCAATATGGAAGCTCAGTAAAGCTCTGAGACCCTGAAATGGGACAGGATTCAACAGATCAAGTGGTATCTGTATCCGTTTTCCCAATTTCTGTTCCCTACACAAAAGAATACGTGAATATTAGTATCAAAATGTCACCAAATGTTTGTAAATATATATTACTACTTAACGCTTACACATATGAAAGTGAGATATTGAAAGCCACTTAAGTCAAACCAAATAATTTAAACTAATCCACTCTAGAAGGACAAAAGAATAAGGATTGCAAGATTTTTTACCCTAAATTTAATCTGTCCTACATCTTAAACATAGCAGATTTCTTTCTATCAAACTGTAAACTTTCTTAGTCAAGAGAAAAGTAATTATACACACAACTACTAGAAATATTTTTCTTATACTAATAGTGTATGTCTGAATAAATTTCTAGTCACTTTGCTCATTGTTTATCTATAATATTATAAATAAGATATTAAGTATATCCTAATGTTAAGATTCAAACTCTCAAAATTATGACACAGACATACATCTAATAATAGTTTCTAAGCTTTGTTTTGGCTCAGGAGCGAATTTATTCTCTATTGCCAGTATGTTAGAAATAAGAATCCAGTACATAACACTAATTTTACCAATTCGAACGTACAACCAAAGGGAAAAATCTTATTTTTAAAAATCTGCTCACTTAAGTTATCCTTAGGTTTGCCAGAATAATAAATCACAAAAAGGTATCTTAAAACAGAAATATAACAAAGTAACATTAGAAAATAAAAAATAAATCTTATTATTCTCATCTCAATTTTAGATCTTGATTTAAAATGGCAGAAAATATGATCCCAAAAGCCCACTAATTTGAATACTGCAACATGAGCTAGCAAATTCAAATGGTGGCTCACTTCCAATAACACTGGTGTAGCTTCTCCATCGTGTAAGCCACTCCTTTTAACTTCACTGTAACTCTCTAGGAGAGAAGAGTATACTAGTTTTATCAACGTTGCAAAAGTTTCCAGAGAAGTATTTAAATTTCCACCACACAAAAGGCACACTGTAAAATGCATAGTGGGAAATTGTCCATTACTTCTCTAAAATGCTCATAATCTCAGGAATGGGGGGGAAGGGGAGTAGAGACAAATATTTTAGGAGGAAATTAAGTGGAAAAATAGGTCACCTTTTAGGTCCTCTATTCTTAACAGTATTCCTGCCACTATACATTTTCTTCATTTTTTTACAGCACGTATTTCACTTTACAATGACAGCCTTTTAAAGGCTGTAAAATAATATTCAAAATTACCTTTTACTAGCTGTGGCCATTCGGTGGCATCAGGGTGAGTACAGCTGAGTCACTGATTAGAAACAGGCTGTCACACGGGTCTAGCTGCTAACTTGATCTGATCGTAGGCTTAATAACTCTAATAAATTAAACAAATCTTCAGTTAGAACATCTTAGTATATAAACCCAATTCATTGTTCAATAAATTATCTTCAAAGTTTCAATTAGGTAGCAATGAAAATTTTCTCAAATAATTATCATAAGAAAGCTTTCATGGACCATTTTTCCACACGTTATTTTCTTAAAATGATGTCTTCACTTGAGAAAATGTGATATAGGTAAAATATCCCTAACCTAAAAGTCCAAGACACTTTAAAATCTACAACTTTACAGTCATGTCAGCAACTCTAAAGTTTGGGATTTTGGGACATTTCAGATTTTGGATTTTTTGGATCAGCGGTGCTCAACCAGTGAGATCTATGCAAATATTCCAAAATCTGTAAAAATGACATATGAAACATGTCTGGCCCCAGGCATTTTGGATAAGGGGCTTAACCTGCAATAGTCCCTTGTATTTTTTATGACTTTTTTACAAAGCATTTTGGTCAATGGTATCTTGAGTCTTGAGATAACTAAGTCTCACATAATCAAGGCAGCTACGTTAAGAATTAAATAATAATAATGACAATAATAATGAGCCTCAGAGTGATTAATCAACTTGCCCAAGATTTAGAATTAGAACTAAAACCAAGATCTACTGACTTTCTACCTAGGGGAGGATTTTTTGTTTTGTTTTGATTTAGTTTTGCTATGGTTTTACAATTCAAATATACATAAATGACCAAGGATTTAGAGCGTGGACTGAGACCTTATCATTCTGGCAAGAGTTTAAATGGGACTAATTTAATCACAGGATTCTTAAACTGGTGGAAAAAGTCACCAGGTAGGCAAATTCTTAATGAAACAGTTTTACACACACACATACACACACACCCCCAAATTTAGTCCTACTTATTTCTGTATTTAAGTAGAGTCATCTAACATTAGCCAAAACCCTTGGGCATTGCACACAAAAAAACATGTGTTCTACTCTCAATCATGAACCCATTACATTCTATTTTATTAAAGAATATAGTAAAATATGAACACATGCTCCCTCAACCAAGTATTTTTTTTCTCCCACAGATGGTCTTAGCCAAACTTTCCTGAGAGTTGCGATCAGATGTAGCAGGCCTCCTTAATCATACTGTAACTCTAGCAAAGATACACATCTGAAATATCCTAAATCATTTCATATAATTAATTTTTCCACTGATGACCAGGCCAAAACTGAGGCACGAACTAAGGAAAGATGAGAAAATTAGGAGAAAGACCCTTCATAATTACTACCTTCAAACTACCAACAGACTAGCAGAGAAGGTGGTTTAATAGCATAGACCCAGAATCCAATATAAAGCAGCAAGGTATATATGAAAACCTCAAGAAAAGGGTTAAAACATCAATGCTTGAGCCCATACTTCTGTAGCTATAAAAATAGGGCTTCAAATCCAGATAGGGGCTATGGTTGGCCTGAGTTTAGGGAATCCCAACAAATAGGATTTACAATCCCTATAAGAAATAATTTCCCAAATTTCCCTTTCATAACTATATGTCTTTTAATAAGGACCTAGGCACGGCTGAGGCAATACAGAAAACAGGCAATGGCACTCCTGAAATGAACAGGGTGATGATGTAGTTAGTTCCCTCTTGGCTTCTCATGAGATTAATAGTGTATGTGGATTTATAAGATCCAAATGAGTCAAACTTTCCAACTTCTAAAAATAAAAATAAAAATGTTAAAAATAGCTTTAATTGGTTTATTGAACTATATATGTTTTGACAATTAATAAGTCAAGTACTCTCTTCCAGTTCCCTCTTTTACAGGGTCCAGTGCTCAAAAGAAGACAAACAGGCTCCAAAGCCGGTCTAGATTCATGTCCCTGTTTAATTACTTCTAGCTGGGAAATCTTGGGCAAGTTACTTAACCTCTCTGAACCCCATTTTCTTATAGATGGAATTAAGTTAACAGTAGTACGGGTTGTAATGAAGATGAACTAGTTAAGATCTAAAATGGTCACAAAAGTGCCTGGCATTTTACGCGCTCACAAATGGAAGCAAGTATTAATACCCATGGCCTAAGAGCAAAATGTAACCCCCCAATCTTTTTAAATACGTTATTTTGTATCTGTCTACCTCATAGCTGTGAATTCTTTCAGCACATCACTTGAGTCCCTCCTACAGTATACCTGGTAGCATAGTTATTTCCCAACTGGTACAATGTTTTAAAAATGACAGATGCCCTAATTTGCTGCACGCAACTGTCATTCTTACTGTGACATTAAGATAATTCATGCAATATGAATTTCAAAAAATGAAACAGAAACATACCATATTTCGCCAAACTTCTGAGGAGCTGGTGAATTCTAAAATCAGCCTCTTACAGATTTTTAACCTAAAATATAAAACACCTCACTCAATTCTTTTTATATAAACAACTGGATAAACTTCCAAAAAATTACTAGAATTCATTATAAAACCAAAGCAAATTCATCTTCCATGGTATTTACGAACACCCAAAAATGTATCAAAAGACAATTACCCTGCTGTTGCTGCCAGAATGTGTGGCAGGGTGACTAGGCAGGCCCTGTGGCCTGCATGCTTTTAGCTGACAAAACCATGTTTCCCATTTTCATCCACGAAGCTTAGTGCTTTCCATTTCATTATCCTCCATAAAAACAGGCTAAAAATATATGAAAACTGGTTGACTACATGCTTCTAGTCCTTTCTGATACTTAAGAGTAATTTTACTTTTCATTAAATTTTATATGCTGAGCACTTGCTATGTAAAAATATGGATTATCTATGTACTACCAGGTCCTAGAGTATTAACTAACTATGACCAGTTCCTTTGACCTCTGAGTCTCAAGTGTCAGGCTGCTGTACTAAAGAAAATGAACTTAAAAGCATATATAATGCTTTCCTAGCACATAACAGTGCCTCAACACACTGAGACAATGATCATACTTAAATAAACGACTGAACAAGTAATTCTTACCTCTCCAAAAAAACTACACAACTTATTCAGAAGCTTAACACAAGAACCAAAATAATCTCTGTAAATTCTTAAATCATTTGTAAACAACTGGCATCCCTCAGTGGAACAGGAATTAATGTCTTTTAATTAGTTCCTTTAAATCCACCCAGTATCCTACAAGCCAATGGAAGAAAATGAATACACTGCATTAAGTATTTTTAAGAGAATTAACCAAATTTTATGACTTCTAAGAACTGAGTATAAAACCTTGGTCTACAGTAGAATCACCCAAGGAATATATCAAAATGCAACTTCCTGGGTTCCACTCAAGGTTCTGCCTCAGTGCCTGAGGTGGGGTGTATGGATCTGTATTTCTAACAGATATCTATGGGACGCACAGATCCCACTCCCACTGTACCCTTACACTTTGACCCTAACTGCACACCTTCACGCCCGTATCTCTGGGATTATCAGCCCATAACTGCCAGTTACCAAAGGCTCACAACCACCTGAATGTCTCATTAGCACCCAAGGACAGTCTTTGTAAAACTGAACTCAACCATTTCACAGAAAATTCAGTCTACCGTGAATATTCCTGATCTCACAGTCTTTCTAGGTACAGAAAAGAAAATTTTGGTGCCATTCTGTATTTTCTACCTCTCATTTTTATTTAGCCTAACCACTAATTCTGGGCCATCAAATAACTCAAAATAGGTCAATTAGATTCAGTGGCCACTAAGTGGATAAAATGCATTACCAAAAAAACAAAACGAAACAAAACCTTCACATAATCTCTTGTCCTCTTGCATTGTGAAGGAAATGGGCACAAATAATAAAAACCACAACAAATGATGTAATTAAAATGTACAGTTAAGGAATGGGAAAGAGAAATACCGGGAGCGGTGCACATCATAATAGAGTGCTTAGTCTGAGAGGAAAAATGTCCTTCACAAAGGATGACCAAGATTGATCAGACACACCAAATCCTGTGAGGGCATGGGAGCACTGTCAGTCTAGTCACCCAAAGCAGAAGAGTTTGAGTCCTATTCCGTCTCTCCTTCCAGTATAGCAAACTGCACAACAATCTACGTAAGGAATTCCCCCAGACTCCAATACTATCTCTAGTTCTTCTGATACTTTTTACTTGCTTTTGAATTAACCAAAATCTCCTAATCACGTCAAAAGCGACTACACAATTTGGCCAAAACCTGCCAGTCCAGCCTTTTTCCAGACTGCATTCTAACAGCATATGCATATCATTCACTTTCATACTTCCAGTGCTTTAACATGTCCACAGAATAAACACATTACAAAAGAGGAAACTCCTAAATGACTCATTTTAGGTCCTTTAACTAGCAAGTGCAAAGTTAAGTTTCAAACCTAATTTGATGCTAAAGGTCATGCTCATTCACTTGCACCCCACTTTTTAAATGTATATTCGAACTCTATACCTTTAAAAATCCCTCTTACTTTCCTTTTATCATCCATGCTTACCAACAATGCCATACTTGAGAGCCACATTATTTTATCTCATTTCCATTTTACCTTTTCCTCCAAAACTGCTGCTGGAATTATCCCCCTAAAAATTAGAATCTGGCCATTTCACTCCAGTATTCAAACACTTCTGTGCTCCCCAGTGCCAACAGGACAGACACTAGGCCCCTTCAACATTACTTAGATCCTCCGCAGCACCTCCTCAGCCAGGCCAGCACCGGGTCTACACAATGACATCACCTCCAGGTGCCAGAGCCAGTCCTGTCACTAAAGAACCAAAGAACCATCTCAGCAAGACGCCCTTCTAGAGGATTCTCCTATCACAACCACTGCCTCCTCTGTGTATTAATGCTTGTTCTCAACACCATAAAGCAGTTTATTCATTTCTGCCTTATAGCTGTAATTTTATACTTTACATTACAGCTATAGTCAACGCTAAACTGGATGACAAGGATTATTTTATCCATATTTTTATTTTTATAGTAACAGTGACTGTACTGGAGGGGAAAAAAAAGGAGTCAGGATCTATTGCTTGACAAAATATCTTGAGCTAGTTCCAAATGCAATTCATGTATGAACAAAGGAGGATACCATTTCTTCCCACATTAACAAAAGTTTATTTCATAGACTAAATATGTAAGAATAATAACTAAAGTTTTGTTTCTAATAGAAGAATGTCACTTTTTTTCCAAGGAACTTGCTACCAGCTATTCAAGCACAGTATATACTAAACTAAATATACGCACATCCTATGACTTGAAAATTCACCAAGTACAAGAAACAGATGTAAGTACATATATTCTCAAAAAGACATTCACTGGAATGCTCAGCAGCAATATTCTTAATAGCCACAAACCAAAAATCACTAAAATGTCCAACAGCAGAACAAACTGTGGTATATTCCCAAAACAAATACTACAGAGCAACTATCTTAAGTAATCAATTATGGCAGTCAACAATAAATCTCACAAACACATTAAAAGAAAAAACGCAGACATAACTGATTACAGATGCTCCTTTAAAGCTGAAAATCTTGCAAGTCAATCATTTAATAACCCATCCTACCAAACATCTGACTTACATGCAGTATAGTCGTTCCCCCATTCAAAGTCCAAGACCACCCCACCAGTGATGCCTGACGCTGTACCAGACTCTGCAGTTTTTTACTGCACATACATACATATGATAAAGTTTAACTTACAAATCAGACCCAGTAAGAGGTTTACAGCAATAAAATAAAGCATAACAATATACTACAATAAAAGATGTGACTGTCTCTGCAAATAGCTATTTGTACTCTACTTGCACCCTTCTTTCAGGACGATGTTAAGACGATACAGGAAGCACTTTACAGTTTCTTTCTGACATGTTCTAACTGCTAGCATCACTATTCTTGCTTTGGGACCATTAATTAAATGAGGTTATCTGCATAAAATCACACAAACTGCAACAGTCAATTTGATAACCAAGACCAAGAGAAAAATTAACAGACCCAGAATTGACAAGGTTGAGGGAATCAATAGACAAACATTCTCAAATACCTTTTACAAATATGCCCAAAAAGTCAAAGAAAGAAATTGAAAACATGAAAATGAGTCAAATCAACTTCTAGAAATGCAATAAAATACCCAAAATTGTTTATCACTGCAAGAGAAAGATAGTGAAATACAAAGCAAACTAAAACACAAGACAAAAAGACTGAAAAATAAACAGGATGCTAATGAGCTGTGAACAAGATCAAATGGTCTAACATACATTTAACAGGAGTCCCAAGAAAAGATGAAATAGTGTGGTTAAAAAAATACATAAACTAGAAATGACTGTTAACAATTTTCCAAATCTGATGAAAACATATGCACACATCTTTTAAAAATACACCCCAAAAAACCCCTACAACTCTCAGCTGGATAATCACAAAGAGAGTGACACAGAGAAACCTTAAGAATTCAGAGTGGAGTGTGGTGGCGCACACCTGTAACCCTAGCTACTCGGGAGGCTGAGGCAGGAGGATGGCAAGTTCTAGGCCACTGTGGGCAACTTAGTGAGAGCCTGTCTTAAAATAAAACATAAAAAGGGCTAAGGATGGGGGGAGAGGGAAAAAGAAGCACCAGCTTTAAGTACTGGGGAAGAAAGATTAAGTAGAACCAAACTTTTCATTAGAAACAAATGTATAAGAAAAATACATCACTCTGGAATTTCAAGTGAAAATTCCTTCAACAAATGAAGAAAAACCATTATACATCCACCTGAATGGTTAAATTAAAAAGACTAAAAGCCCCAAATATTGACAAGGATGTAGGGCAACTGGTACTTGCAGAAATTGGTGGTAATATAAATAAAAGGTCTAATTTGAGGAAAACATCTGGTAATTTGTAACTGTGAGACAGTATTTGCATTCCTAGGTATTTACCTACAAAAAAAAAAAATCACATGTGTCCATAAAAATACTTTTTTCACATAAATGCTAATTTCAGCTTTATGCAGAATAGTCAGAATCTGAAAATAGCCAAGATGTTCCTTAACAGAAGAATGAAGTTCCAGACCACTTAAGCCTGAAATAACATGGCTGAATCCCAAAAACATGCCGGGTAAAAGAGACCTTTTTCAATAAAAAGCACCGTGTGATCTATTTACATGAAGTTCTAGTGCAGTTTCAGCCCACCTTTACTTGCTCTCATTTTGTAAGTGAAGAGAAATTGTCTTAGGCCACATAAAAATGTATCATTAGTGCACATATATAACAAAACTTTCTTTTTGATTATTTAACATTTTTCCAAAAAGGGGGACACAGTTTGAACAAGCTAATCAATGACGAAAACAGAAAAATGGTTGACCTTGGGAGCAGTGTAGGGGAAAGGACTTAATAGTTAAGTTCTATACACTTGAGAGGACTTTATTGTACAGTGCGCATGCATTTGTCAAAA